AAAGTTTAAGAAGACTCGTTCGGGAGGAAATCGGTGTACAGTTTTTGTAACTAAGATGCAGATTAGAGTTTTGCTTCCCTGTTCAATGGTCTGCAACCGGTCAGTTAGCATTTCCGAATAAACAACTCCGCAGCGAGGGCCCTCTTCCTTTCACTGGTAGTGAGACAATTGGGCGTAATGGTACCGCCTCTCTGTGAACCTTTGGAAGTCCGTAGAATCGGACAACTTCTGGGTTGCAGCAGAATCACAACAGAACAACAACACACAGAACTGTCGAACTGAATGCACCTAACGAACCAACCAGACGCAAGAGATTGAGCCCAAGTCAGATTCATAGGAGACCAACCAAACTACGCGAAGACCGCTTCCAGAGCTACCACATACTGTTTAGAAGCTATATAATCACAGGCAGAATTGCACGAATTCACCCACTCAACCCTACACTGACGATGTCATCTCGATTGGTGATGAAACGTTTGCAATCCAACTGCCAAGCTCGGAGAACAGATCAACAACCAAGGAAACACTAGCTTTTCGATTGTTTCTGTCTAGGCTTAGGCTAACTGGAAGTATCTCGGTCGTTATGCTTCTTTCGGGTATCACGCCAGCTACGCACAGGTAACGAGTAATTATAGTCGCAGAATCTGTGAAAGTCGAATAAGCCTAATCTAGTTGTTCATTTGCCGGTTTCGTTCACGAGCGATTCCCCCAAATTGTCGGCGAAAACAAGGCAGCCAACTACCCTGGATAGGACATATCATGTGGTTCAACTTGGAGTGCTTTCGTCCTCTCAGCCTAACACTGTATTTACCGCTTCAACATCCACTGCGGTCAATTTTATTCAGCATCAGCCACAATTCAGAAGCAGCCTCACCATCGGTGGCGCTGCAGGCCGCCACATTGTGTTCAGCAGCCTTTGAAAGTTACAATTGGAATGATTTCGCTCAACAATGTATCTGACTTACATACAAGGCACTCAGTCGTAGACGTTTACTACCTTTTGCCTGTTACATGACTAAAAATCTATTAATTGACCCAACCTCAAGTCTGACACCTGACCTGTTATTCAAGTGAAAAAATGACGAAATCGAGGCTGAAGAGTCTCAAACAAGGTCAAACTTATACTGCGGTCCCAGTATACAGGTTACGTACAGTGTTCTACTATCAAGAAAGAGCCACGAAGCGCAAGCGCTTGTAGACCTGGTACACAGCATGTTTTCCATGCAGACTGAATTACTTAGATGCAACTATTAATTGCTCAAAATTTGTTCAGCTAACCTATCGCAAGTGAGTCTCCCAAATGCATATTTATTATTTTTATCCGTCTCTCTTTGACCTCAAGCGTACGAAAGATGTGTAAGTTGATGTAGGTGAAACTAAAGAGACCAGTGGTCAAGAACAAACGATGAGTGATAAGCAAAACCGAAAAAAACCTTGAATTACAACAGAAATTCAAATCCTGTTTATTTTGCAGCCAAAAAGAATGATAGGGGGTCCACAATCAACTCCAATTGGTGGTATGATCATCCGTAGAATCGTAGGCCAGGTGCAATTCTGCCACGTAGTACACTGAAGTATTTCCGCTATCAGCATGGTAAGGCTACTGATGTTCTTTTCAAGCACCTGAGCACATTGTAAATAATTCAGTAATGCCGCCCTTCAACGCTGCTCCTACAGAATTAAAAAAACTCTAGCAAGCTATCTTCACTAATTACGAATTAAAAGTCCACACGATTAGATCGCATCCGCCTTCGGACAATCGCAGACGACTGAGGAATACTCAAGTCCCGACTACATTTAAGGTGCTGAATTCTAATGGAAATTTCCTCCAGTAGGTTAGGCCAATCTGAGCTGAAAAGCCAAGTAGCATTATTCAGCTGTTCCATATTTATTGGAGATCATCAGCAGTGCGTACCTCACGGAACTCCAGAGAGTCCCGAGCCGATTTCTAATAAGGATGAAACGGCTGTACAGTGCTCCTCGGTTCTTCAGTACAGATTGGCTTCACCTGCTGGACGATGCCGATTGAACTATGTGGTCAAGTCCTAGGGCAAAACCCTCAATAGACTGAAATAATCAGTCCATATTCTCTCAGAAAAGCCAACAAGTCACCCGATGTGTCACACTCAATGTCTTTGTATCTTCAGGCACTTAGAAAAGCTCAGTATAGTATTTTATTCTGATCGAATTCTACCAGACTTTTAGACGTGGGAACACCTCACGGCAAATAAAAAGCAGCAATATCACAACACCGATCAAAAGCGTACTGCTTCATGTGTTGTCTGAAAATTCATCAGCAATGACGAACAAAGAATATATCTTGTTCTTGTATAGACGTAATACTCTTCTCATAAGGTTGCACTCTTCGACTCGACAGTCCACGATCGGTTCCGTTTAATAAAAACATCATAAATGATAGATTCAGCTGCATTCCAGGTGAGTCTCCCATCAAAACCAAATTGGTATGCAAAGAATAAGACACGAATGAGACACGAGGGCTGGGATACTGACAGGTCGCCTAAGCCTAGACAGGGGAAGTCGAGAGGCAGAGGTCGGGTTCGAACCACGGAACTTCCGGTCAGTAAATATGCGCTCTACATTTCGCCAATTTCTTGTTCTTATCCTCTTCGTACTTTTGAATAACGACTAGTGCAGCTTTCGAGAGCCTCATACAGGAGAATGTGTGCACTACTACCGAGGTCAGAAAGAAAGTTGCATCACCATTGTTTTTTTAACTCATGTCAGCGTTCAAGAGAATATTTCGGATTTCCATTGGATGATTGTGGCAGTAGCACTTCCGACGTTCACGCACTTCCGCTCACAACAAACTAATGATGTCACCCCGACTGGTTGTGAAACACTTGCAATAATATTGCCCAGTCAGCGAACATCACAACAAACTAATGATGTCACCCCGACTGGTTGTGAAACACTTGCAATCATATTGCCCAGCTCAGCGAACAAACCAACGACTTGCTGCACTTATTTTCATCGCAGTTCGGTTTGTAGGATATACTTCAGATAAGTGTTCCAGAGGATGTGCTGTGTACCTCTAAATACAGTCAAAAACGGGGCCGTACTTTTAGCATTCTTCCTCAATGAACGTCACACTTCCATCAACGACCGAGAATGAGCTGGCGACACGATCGGCTTGGGCCGTCAAACTCAAAACAGCTTTTCCTCGGTTAAAGTCCCGGAGTGTTGCTATCTGTGGTCGGTGTTATCTCTGTCATTCATCCTGGAAGCAAGAGGTACTTTGCGTTGTTGGATGGTTGAGAATTTTGAATTCAACTGTATGACCCGCAACTCTGCATCTCAAAAAAATTGCGCGACTTCTGAACCTGACCTGAAACCAATAGACGACGAACGGTCAAGAAACAAAATTCAGTGGACCACTTCGAACCTAACAAGCAATAGTCCGCATTCACATGACGATCTTCCATTCGATTGGGGCACCAACGCAGTGAATTTTGTGAATTAATTGTCAGGGTCATTGAAATGTTATCGCAATGCCGTACAACGTATATACAGAACTTCCGCGCCCACAAGAGGAATCGTTTGAGAGGAACAATGCAAAAATGCTTCGTCCACAGAAGACGGGAGTCTCTTGGTGGGAACACCCAAGCTAAGCAGCCTTCAACGCCTTGCACACATGTTAAACGAAAAAACAATTGTCCATGGGGCTTACTAGCAGCTTTGCTGATTTGTCTAAAGCGAAGACACCAGGTATTCAACACGATTACCACCCGAGGCCATCCCCTAGAGCATTACAAACAATTGTTTTTCCCACGTTATGTGGGCAGACGCGAACAAAAACCACAAAACGAAAAGTGTACGATGAAAATGGCTTAGCGTCAGTACAAGCACAACCACTGAGAACAGTATGTTGCTTGATCCTTTCCGTACTGAAACCGTTTGAAAATATACATGAATGACTAATACGCGGACCTATTGGCACAATAAAGAATCCCCTAATGAAGACGGTGTATTTTACTCACAAACTTACGGAATAAGTTATTCCGTTCTGGTGTCACCTGTTGCAGTGAACAAACAAGTGGTGCTTTCAATTGAGATATCGTTCTGTCAGTAAGTCGGGAATAAGTATACAGTTGTTTCATCCTTATTGAAAGTCATCAGCCGTGTGCAATTCAAGAAACTCGGTTTCGGACCCACGACCTTCAGGTCAGTGGTTGGACACAACCGTTCGGCCTAAAGCGCCTGAACACCAGTGTGGTCATCTCTCACTCCGGCACTCACAGAAACCACATCACATGGTCACGTACTGAGTGACTCCTCGAGACACGACTTCTCATATGAAAGTTTCACTCGTCTTGCGGAATTATTCATTCTCTGAGCCACTTACACATTGTTCACAGTAGGGAATTTTTAATTACAAAATCTCATTTTGTTCACGAAATATTCGCCGGGACGAGTCATCATAAAATTGCAACGTGAAATGAAAGCGGCCACTATCAAAACCGAGTGCTGTGTGATCGTCGCGCCTTTATGACTACAGCCCAAGTGGTCTTGCTTGCAAATGGTTGGAAACCTTGCAGGAGATAACACGCAGTCGATCCCAGTGACCCGAATGCTATCATTTTTCGGTCGCCTGTTGCTGTGTGTTGGGCTTATGTCGATTGTGATTGGCAAAGGACGCTGGATCGATCCTGCTGGTGGCACCATACTTAAACATCCGCGTAAGCATTACCCTTTCCTTTTCTTCCCACTCTTTAACAAGGCTTTCCTCCCTTATGGTTGTATGGCAGTTAAGCACCAGTAAGTATTGATATCGTTGATGATGATAACTGATATCTCGCGCTCCACAAATGCACGGCCGATTTCAGATGTTAAAACAACTTGTCAGAGGTGTACATCCATACATGCACACCAAGTAATCTCTTCCTATGGAGGAGTTTACATCAGCAACCTCGAAGAAAACAAGCACTACTAAAAGAAGGCGCTTTTCCGTGCCTTCGAGGTAAGAAACCAAGTTGACTGGGGAGCAGATGTATCTTTCACTGTAGTTGTACAATATGCGCACGGTTAAATCAACAAGAGAGGGAAATTTTGAGAAAGATACACAACACAGTCTAGTCGCGCGCGGGTCAGGTCTGAGAGTATAGAAGCAGATAGGGTGTGGTCATAGGTTGTGCATAGACTTGCTCCAACGAGGTGTACTGAGCAATGTCATCATCGAACCAGATCCACTGCATCCCCACTCGGGCCACGCAGGTATAATGACCACAACTGATGGACAAGCCATGATGTAATATCATTCCCTGCAACGCGTACGACCTGGTGGCAAGCGACCGCGATCCCTGTTTCTCATCACAAAAGTATCCATTCTCACTGGCAGTGTGGTCCGACAGGGTGACAGAAAGACGTTCGGGAATGGATATTGGACGCAAGATTTTGGACGATGTTTGCTTCACACGGCAAAAGGTGAATATGTTCAAACAGATTAGCACGTGAGAAGCGAGCTTTCGTAGACTCAGTCTTCTCGCGCGCTTCGTGACCTTGCCGCAAGATTCGCACTCGTTTTGAGTAGAGACATATTCTGTTCGGGTGAAATGAGCTCGAATGAGGGACGTGAGGTCCAAATCTGTGTTGCTTACACGTGAGCCCGATTCCACCTGGAATAATGCGGACAGAGTGAAGAAAGCAGTGAGCATACGGAGGGGTTCAAGAGTAGCGCATGAGGCAGAGGAAAACAATTTGGGGTGCAAAAATCGTTATGTGGCTGAGGTGAACGCTCTTTCGGTGCCCATGCCACCCGAAGGAAGCATGGTGGCTGAGGTACTGCCAGGCTACCCACACCTAGAGAGGAGCAGTCGGAATGCAGAGGCTGACTTTCTGGTCAGTGAGTTCGCACTTCACGCACTGAGCCACCTCGAGGTCATTTTATTAGTCATAAGCCCTTGCCTTCAAAGAGACGAAATACAAATGGCTGGCAAGTTTTCACACTTGGGTCAAAGGAAAACTACACGGTTTTGGGCAAATGCCACAATTGAATTCCGCCGAGGAAATGTCCTACAAAATATCAAGTGTGTTGGTCAGTATGTCCGGAACTGAGTAAGCGCCACTCAAACAACGTCGACATTCGTTCTTCGCTATCAAACTACATAAGTTTTGGGGGCGTACAACAAAAAATATGCACTACATTATAGTTCACCGGAACAAGGTCTGTCTGCATTGGAGATGTTTATGGCCTTAAGGTTACAATTTGACTGGATCGCACTAAGTGAAGATCATACCACAATCAGGACAGTATGACAACATAATGGACGCCTAGAAGACGGTTGAGTGATCACGGTGTGTGGTCAACGACGGCACAGCCAGTGTGAAATAAGATGGAGAAGATACAAGCATGAAACAGGTTTGCCCGGTGATTCATCTTTGTTTAACAATTACCACCATTTATTAATGTTCTACTTGCTCCGGAAGGTGGAGGTTACCGACATTAATTGGTCCTTCTCAAATCAGCAATATCTTCCGAGATATTCTTCAGTCTGATATAATATTAGAATGGTGATGTGATCATAGCAAATGGCCAAGTAGAAAATCATAGCTTACAGTTGATATTTTAGTTACATTGTTGTTTGAACAACTGCTTGTTCCGTAAACTGTTTTCTACTCAGCCGGTTGGTGAAGAGAAACGACCCACGAGGAACGAAGCAATAATTTGAAGGTAAAAGTTGCGACTTCTGCAACTGACTCCGGAAGCTTATGGAACTAACGTGACCGACAGGGTGTACACCTAGCCACTTTACCCGGAGCCAGTTAGTAACCAATAGAAACATACTCCGTTCAGTTTGCCGGCATTAGTACATGAACGATAGATCAGTCAAAATTCGTCACAGATAATCATAGGGAAAGCTCCTAATTGGGGTAAGAATTACCTGAAAAACAGAGTTGGATGGTTTTTGTTCTTCGTCGAAGGCCAGATCCTCCGACGACGCGACCGGGAGATACAAGCATGAGAAGTACTCGTCACATGTGCTGGACACATGGGCGCACTCTGTGCAAGATGTATGTCGAACCAATTGACCGCCGAACAACTGCCGCACTAGGGACATATGCTGGCCTGCTGCAGCAGCGGTATCGGTAGGTGCTGATCCGGCAATTTGCGTGGGTTGGGATTCAGTTCCGAGATCTGGTGAACTGTTAGTACGGCGAATAGACCGATGACACGGTAGGGATGGATTGAGAACGCTACGAGTACGATCAGCCGAGAGGCATATTTGGCTGTCATCTAGTTGCTGGTGTTTTGATCTTGAAAAAACAGGGTGGAAAAAAGAGAGGTGGCCGATTTACAGGGTATGCGCGTCATAATGAAGTATGCTTCATCATAAGAGACACAAAAACAGGAGTAGCTGTTTAAACCAGTTCTATTTGCTGGTGCCACTCAAATACTTGAGGACTTCCAGTCAACCGAAAGAAAAACTGGAACCATTGTTTCAGAAGAGTCCTGTAAGGATGACTTCAAAATGGGTTCCAACCTTTTTCTAACTGATTGAAGATTGGAATCGGTTCAGAATCCTCCGTTTTCGAAAAATCGTGAACGGACCCACCGACTACCTTTCAAATTTCTCTGATAACTTGTCGCACACTTGGAGATAGATGCCAAAAACACGATAGCCAATCTGAGTGTACCGCAAACGCCTAGGTCTCTGATGAATTTCGAAGTAATGGGGCAATTAATGAGTCGAAAAAGTGAATCTTCACACAAAAAGCAGGTACCGCGAATAGGTTTGTCTCGAACAGTAGTGAACAATAATCGATTTAGTTTGATGGAGATATCTCTGGAATATGGGATCTTCCTAAAAATCCATTTGAAATCTCCAAGACACCAAGTACACGGTTGCCCAGATACTCGTTGCCGACAGTCTTATGATGATACTGCCATCGTACACGTATGTAGTTCACTGGTAACATTTATCCGAATTGCATACTGGTGAGTTGGAACGAATGCCTTTCCTGGGCGAGTCGAAACGGAATGCCAGTTAGTTTACCCTCAAAGCAACCCAAACCCTGTTAATACGGGTCGTCTTAAGCGGAATACAAAACGCACGACAGTAGTACACTATGATGGTCGGCATAAGCCTCCACAAGTGAGATTTCTTGAAAATTTAAGGATTGATGACTAACACGGATCACTCACTTGAGCAGACTAGGATCGGTTGCTTGCAATTCTTCTTCGTGAAGCCGATCAAGTAAGTGGTTCAAGTACTCAACGGCATCTTGCTGCTCTCCAATGACGAAGTGTGCCGGTTTGGAAAGCGTGAGTACAGCACCGGGATCTCGCACAGTTTGGCCCTGTTTCGGATCAAATGTTCACGTGATATGTGTGCATTGAATCTAGTGAGCAGGAATACCAAATGAAACTAGGCAAAACATCTCCAGAAAGCAAACAGACGGGAAACACACAAGTCTACATGCCTGATTGACTAACCTGTTGTAAATTGATGGCCGTCCATGAATTCAAAGTTATCTTAACGTCGCATTATGGATAACACTTAATGTAAGAGAGGAGCAGTGTAAGTGGTTCTCGGGGGAGAAAATGACAGCAAACAAACGGGAAACTGGCGCGCACTATTAGTTTCAGATAAGTAGGCGGTCGCTACATAGAAGCTGCAGTGGGAAACTGAAGGACCCCTGTAAAAGTCATTACTACAGAGTGAGGATGGCGGTAGAGAAGTAGGTTGTTGACGGGACAGTACACGACACGAGGTAGCGTTATGAGGGCATTCCGGACACCCCATATAACTTGAGGTCAAAATGCAGCTCCTCAACGTCTTTTATTGGGACTTCTACTGAGAGGCGAAAATTTCATTAAACCTAATATTGGCTTTGTCTCAGTTAATCGGACGCCCAAACAAAAGCTACTGAGTTCCCCGATTGGCCGGTGGGTAGGTGGCTGGCAATCTGTCATAGAACCTCAGCTTCAAAAAAGACCGTTGCAATTTGTCATTATTAGCAGTGTGAGAAAACTTGGGGGTTTTTATTAGAGACTTTGTTCTGTGAAGGAAGTATGCTGGAAATTATCAGCAGGGAGTGGCGAACCCGCGGCCTCAGGCTAGCAGTTTGAACACTCAACCGATCGGCCAGGTGCGGCTGATCAGCAGTGTGATTAGCTCGCACGTAGACACGACTGAGGAGTGTGTGACGCCAAATCCTGCCTAGGTTCGATTTAGTCAAACTGCTGATGGGTCACTATGGCCGAAAGGTGTGCAAACTATCAACCGGAAGGTCGCGGTTTCAAAACTCCCTAGAGTTTAGTCAGATGCGCATTACTGATGATTTACAATACGGATGAAACAGCTGTACGATGCTGTTTGGCCTTTTGTCCAAAACTGGCTTCACTAATCGAACGAAATCACTAAAAACATGGTCACTGATTATATAATCTGTGCGGTTATAGCTAAAAGGTCCTAGTAGTTATGGTGTGAGAAGAATCAAGAAAAGTTAAGATCCTCTAACGGCTCACCAGTTCCAAAGCTGGTGCGGTTGATTCTATGTTAGAATAAGGGGGGGCGTATCGCACGCCGTTTCCAATACCCTCTGAAGTTCAATCAGTTTCAAAAAGAGTCTTAGAAAATGATGTCACCCAGTTAATTAATTAGTAGATACAGACAGTGTTGGAGGACAGTAGTGTTCTGGTAATATAGGTAACAGATAACTTTAATCTGAATTTCATGTGGTATTTCTCGAACAACTTAACTAGTATTACGGATAGGTATATGAAATTCAAGAGAAATGTAAAAATAGCCCTCAAGAAGTAGAACAGTCTGCTTCTCTAGGACCATTCAATCAACTGCAATCACCAACACCTTGCGTAATGACCCGCTCCTCAATACGACTATATGGCACTTGCACGAAATAGGTCGTTCACTCGTCAATCCTAGTTCTGTTGGCAACAGCCACCACGTTTGTTGGTTCTCCCATCAGTTTCGACAACTGAACACTAGTTGAAGTGTGCCGCGTCACTTCCATCAACGCATCAGTTGATACGCCACTGTGTCCTTGTCTGAAGTTACGTAATTCAGCGTGCCCATACCATCAATCGTTTCGAACCACCCTTCCTACAGTATGTGAGAAATAGTATATTGATGACCACGTCGCCGTACAGAACTCAACGCTGGTCGGAAATGTGACGAATACCAGACGCTAATCAATGCTGCTGTCACATGACCTTAGGTGTTTAGGGCTAGTTCACCTAATTAACTCAGTAATTATCAACACCTGTTGATTGAGCATTACAACTCTTACAGAGCGAACTGAGGTAAGTCAGATGAGGCTGACAAGCAAGTACGGTACACGCTATCATATGCATTTGGCTACGCATTACAAACCACCACCTCGAGCGCTTCTAGCTATTGGTTCAGGATGATACGCGACATTTAGAATGGCGAGTCTGTCCGTAGTCTGGGAAATAATCATTCTGGAACAAGACCTCTGCGAAACCAAGAAGTCCCAACTAACTGATTTCCAAGTGCAGATGATGATCACGAATTAGACTCTCCAATGTTTAGGGCAGTGAAGCGGGTTATCACTTTATGGGTTCGTTTCCTTACGAGTACCGAGAAGTCATATATCGATTATTAAAGTACACTAGGCCGAAAATTGAGTTCATCTCACTAAGAAAAGACAACTACGGGGAAAAAGATATTTTGTCTCTTGGAATGTGCCTATCACTGAGGGTATCACGCAGAAAAACATGGCTGCCGTGACATCTTTAGAGAAATGAACTATCTTCAGGTGATACTGCGCCTGATGTTTAAGCATATGATCCACTTCAGGCGAATTGCACCACAGCTACTCACGTCGAAAGGTAAGAAGCGAACAATGTTTCCCAACCGCGGAAATATTAGCTCAGAGAAAGTGGGATGAGAATGAACATCAAGCTTTCAATAACAGCTCAGGAGGACTCAGCCATTCGTGCAACCTTAGCCTGTCCGTAAAACGTGATGAAACTGACANCATTCGTGCAACCTTAGCCTGTCCGTAAAACGTGATGGACACTGACAGTCAGGTTATTCTTTATACCTTTATGTTGTTGGCTTTCCCTACAACCCATGTCGAAACACCATGCCACAGATAAGAAATAAGCAACGTGAATCTCGGATTGTTTCGCATTAGCAAAAGGGGCTATCTTCAAGGTTTGAGCGATGAACTACCATGATTGATCAACACTATATTACACACGACAGCCATCATGGAATTCAGAATATGAACTTTTGAAAACAATTGTTTCCGCTATCTCTTCTTCCGCTCAATACGGAGCGGAGGTTTACAAAAGCGGGAGACATAGACAGAAGTAAAAAAAAAGTTAAAGCAGACTCTGCAAAAGTTGTGAAAACTGTTTACGTCACGATCGATTAGCCTTAGTGGGCAGACTGCTTCACGTGAGCAGACTATGGAAGTCCAAATTCATGTACGAACGATTTCCAGGTGTAAAGACTAGGGTTAAGTGAACGAATCGCAACTGTTTCAACTGTGGTCAGCTATGTGTATTGAAAGAACCTTGGTAGACAGAATGGTGCGTGGTACAATATATTAAAAGCAGTATTAGAATTGACCACATGACCAGTACTGGTCCACGAGCGACCACTGCGCTGGTAATGAGAGGTCTCAACCCATCCATCCGCCAGTAAAAATGGGATTCACTCATTTATTCTCCTGCATAACTGTTGTGTAGTGAGCTCATTTTTCTGTAAAACAGCAAGTGTAGGTGATGTTCTTACAACTCAAAGACAAACTGCCGTATACTGAAAGCATGGAAGTCTAGCCCTTCACATGCTGTCGCACATCGGAATCCACTGGACGCACGGCACTGTAGTTAATCAAGAGCACAAAAGAGCATATTCCGTTCTGGCTGAGAGCCGGATCGAACAGATCAATTACTGGCGCAGTGGTCGTTCACTTGGCTAACAGTGGTCATTTGATTAGTTCTACCGCTGTTGTCATAACACTCTACAAAGCCACCGTCTACCTACCAAGATCCGCAACACATCTGTGTCGAGTCACAGATGACGCAACTGCGACTCGCCCACGCAACCCAAGTCTGTGCACTAGGACAACATTCGTACGCGCACTGAGACTTCTGTAATCTGCTCACGTGACCACTGGCAACGGATCATGACGTGAACAATTCTCACACCTTCAATCACACCCTCACTTGCTTTATCTGTGTTATACTTGTATGTATCGTTCACTCTCGGTTTTATAAATTCTCGACATGTATTGAGCGAAAGGGATCTAAAAAAGATTGGTGTTCATCAGATCTAACTTACTTTAGTTATGAGGAATGTCTAATTCGACAAGACAAAATTTTAATGCACACCCATATGAGAGCTCATTATTAATGCATGTCCATTAAGAGGCCTAACTATTGAATTTATTGAAAAGGGGTTATCTCCAGCTGAATCACATTTAAGAGAGTTATTCAGAAGTTTCCTGGTCTCCTAGAGGATAGTTGCTCTCCAAAATGGGTCAGAACGACACCAAGGCGAGTTTGATTAATCCGCTTTGATCATGTTTCGTTAGTTTCGGCCTGCTAGTTGAAAAAGCACACCAGAGTGCGCATCCCGAAAAGCGGTTTTTAAAGCAGCGAGCAGGATTCAGATAACATGGACACAGTAACGGGACGGAACACCACGTAAAAGGTAGGCCTACCTGGTGGGCAGTGAACTGAATTTGTAACGCTCTTTTGGATAGCCCGAGGCGGTATATGATGGCGTTGCAACATTGTATTCCTTTTTATAGAGACTATGGCAGTTATGCATCGAAAAGACGTCATAGATGAACAAGTAAAAAAGCAAGGCTTGTTGCCAACTAGGGTTTTCGCTACTGTAACATTGATAAGTATCTTGGTGGAAAAACTGTACTCGAAAATTGCATAGGGTGAGAAATGTTTACAGTTCGGAGGATGTACGATGTGGATAACGAGAAAAAACGGCCTTCGCATCAACATCAGTGACCTAAGGAATAGTGCTGTCCTCACTCCCAGTTAATATCTCGAATGACAGAGAAATAGCAAAGCTTCTCGCCACCAGTGGGGGGCGCCTACATAAGGCGAACGGCATCAAATCCCGGATTTTCTACCCAAAATCTCATGCAACCGCCCCCATCCCCCCATAGAGCGAACTTTCTTTGGGTAGCACACTAAACATTGGGAAAGTTACTGTGACTTGCATTTGGGAAAGATGTGTTGCTTCTAGCTTAGCCAGCTGAGTTACTTGTCGCGTAACATCGCTGAAATCAGGTCAATTAAAAGTTAACCGTTACGGCACGAAAACGTATGTAGTCACTCGTAACCACATGACGATATCGAATGAATGAAACCAGTTCACAGGGCAAGTCTCATTCTGTCACAGCGAGGGACAGTTCAAGCACATGAAAAATCAGCAAAACATGCTAGTTGCGACAAGTTTGGATCCCAAGACGCAAGTGTGACGGTCTGAATGAAGATGATGACCAAGAGTGTTCGATGTGGTCGAATCTTGCAGAGCTCCAGTCTCATGCTCCCCTATCCAGTTGCTTCGGCGTACGAGATATACAACGACCGTGTAAAGATACTTGTTTTAGGCCTGGGCACAAAAAATTATAACAACCCGTACCTGATGTGTGCTTAGTGCACAAAATAGGGCAAATAGTTGAGAACGCAGAAGCCCACCAGTCGTAGCAGTTGCAGCCAGATCCTTGTTCACACACAGTTTGGAGAGCTCGGGAACAGCCACAAAGGACGAACACGGTGGTCCGGGTGCAGAACAGGGACGAACGGGCTGGCTGCATGACTTGGGCCGAACAGCTTCTAGAACGGCAAGTCGAAAATCGGAGCAGTGATAGAGCAGTTGTAGGGCAGCATTTGCGTAGCACGTGTTCCCAATATTACGGAGACCGCTCTGGTTAAGCACCCTGCACTGATTGACTGTGCTCTGTGGATGATGAGAGAAATCAAAACATACTTCTGGTCAACGCCAAATCCACAAACCAAATCAATGTACTCAAGAAAACCTAAAACTTTGGACTGACCTCATCAGGCATGAGTAGAGCGTATTGAGATGCTCTACACCGAATCAGCTTTGGCTGAACACATTTGGCAATCCTCGAAATAACAACAAAGCTGAACCACTGAATCTTTAACAAGGTACTTGCATTAACACGAGCGGGAAAATACAATGATGCTCCTTCGCATAGGAGGGTTCGTGCAGCAGAGTGAAAGCACGAGGGCTGAGATACTAACAGATTACCCAAGCCTAGACAAATATTCGGTTCGAACTATGAACGTTCTGGTCAGCGAGTTCGCGCCCCTAACCATCAAGCCCTCTCAAACCCATTTTACTTACGACTATGATGCAGGTAAGACTCTTACAGAACACCAGAACTCTGTCCGCAAAAGTGCTGATTCCTTTATGATTTTATGAATTTTATGAACTCGCTGCCCCATACTACACAATCTTCGTATTCTTTACGCCCTCACATCTCCCATGCTTTCCTCTCCCGTAAACTTCCAAATCAGTTTTAAGACTGTTTGTCGCGTTATCCTATTCGCAGCAAACGTGCCGTTGTGAAAAAAAAACCATATGAACGAGTGAGGCGAATGGCATCGGTAAACTGAACGGTCCCACTCAGTTCCTTTACACCACCGAATACTCTGAGCGCTTTATCAAAGTTGATATGAAAAATAAGAATACGATCAACCATGGAAGCGCATTATTGGGCTAAGTTCCGTTGTCCGATTACTATATCATAGCTGCACTTCGGAAGCCATACGGAGGGTAACACATGATTGTAGCACTCGCTCTATGTTCCACGCGGACACCTTACAGCCCCTAGTGCGGCTCATAAACGAACGCGTCCCTAAAAATGAACGCACCATTTCTGCACGACCGACAACTCGAGTCCTCTGGCAATCTACACAGACCAGACTTGTATAAAACTTAGTACGCGAGTCGAATAACACAGAAAGCAGGAACGGTCTGGCCCAAGCAACCACTAACAGAAAAAAACTTCAAAAACACTGGGAATTCGGTCTTTTAGAAGACCTAGCGAAGGACCATCACGTAGCTTGGCAACGTGCTCTCGGGCTTCAGTAAGGACTGAGTTCGCACAGGCGTGCCGAAACTTCCATGATTAGCCTACCACCCCAACGTTCTAGTTGCAACAACGTATGGCAGGTCATCTGGTATCTGGCCAAATTTACTTATCCCAACACCAAGCAAGAGGAGCACCAATTCAGCAATCTTATTTAAGTGATGCTGGGTCAAGAAATCTTAGTTCCTGCTTCGTACCTGGCACGCACGTTGTAAAAAGGAAGTGATCTTGGCCTAAAAACATCAAAACGGCTGTCAACGCCAATATACTATTGTATGCGTCAGTTGCCAGGTTGTTGTCCGCGCAAACTAGGGCCACTGCTTGGAGATAGAAATTCCTAAGGAAGAACATTCATACAAGCTATCAACCGCCTACAGCTTGTGTGAGAGAGTGACCTTTCTCTGTCTAGATTCTTCCCACTGAACCCTCTCGTGAGGCCAAATACTCTACGAAAGATGAGCTTACGTAATGTGAATAGTAAAGTTTCCTTTCATAACCGGGGATATCCAGTCGTGAACAGTACAGACAAATTAAAAACATAATAAACAAAAAAAGATTGGATGGAATGCAGGATACAACCCGACCTTCACAGAACGCTATAGGCTTCGCTAAACAGTAGCTGCTGAGTGAACTAGTTCCACTGTGTTGACCCGGTGAGTTTTGCGTGAAACTAGACATTTTCCTTGATAAATCCTCTTGTTATTGATAAGGCTAGCTAAATACAGTCTACTAAATTCGAGTCACATGCTAGAAAAAGTAATATCTCCACATGAAGCGGTGAAGCAGACCGTGTGCCGAAGCGTAAACATGGTCGTTACATAAGTTCTGAAGAGAACTCGAATTTTTCAACATATTCGATGGAAACCCAGCATAAATTGAACAGTTCGATTCCCTAGTCTAGAATTGTGGCAGATCCACAATTCTCAGTAGGCTCAGTTCACCCTCGATTCGTATGAATGGTTGAAGGGATGCTCTAACATGATCTGTGCAGCTGATTAAGGGGAAGATATCGAAAAGATCCTTGACTGTGCTTGAACACGGCATTGGTCAATACAATCTTGGTGTTGTTGTTCACCACGTCGATAACAGGTAAGCTAAAATCAGACAACTTTGTGTGAAAGAGCGTTCGGGAACTCCACAAAGAACAATCGAAGTGGGTGAACGAAGGTGGATCAACCCACGAACACATTGCGAGCAGTTTCCGTCAGGAAACACAACGGTATAACACCATGAAAGTGAGGGGGACATGAAAGCGGAAAAGTCAAACTGGGACTATAACAGACATACAAAACTTGTTTTTCCACAAATCCCGTTAGCGATTAATACCATCACAAAAAAGCTAATGAAAAAAAATGAGTAATAGCCTAGGAACAGAGGAAATAATTCTGGGTATAATTCTGCTATGGTGATTTGTTACAGGCTTACAGGAACTAATCCGATGGTTCACAGAGATGTAGAAAAAAATAGCTTGAGGTTTAAACAGTCTGGCCATGAACACGATAGAGGTAAATTAGAATAATTAGGTTTCAACTTACCGAAACTGATTTTTTTCCAGGGAATTCATCGTAGTTATCTTCTATGGGAGACTCATCCCATCGCGACCAACAACGTCGAAGGTTTATCCCTGCCATCGAACCCCACCTCGCCAAAGTTGACCACTGGTAAACTTTTAAACGAGCTCGCATGGTCTGAACAGACCAGCGACCGCCACCAATCGTATCCCAGCTATCTAGAGGGTCTGAAGGTTGAGTCAACCCATTTGAGCCCGGTGTGTTGTTGTACAGGGAGAAACTCAAAAGCTGAGTGACCTGCGACATTCGGTAGAAAAAGGTCTCTGCCTCGTCAGACCTAAGGACACCCTCTCTGCATCTTTGTTGTATTTGGGGTAACAAGGGTAGCAGTTCGTCCTTGATTACTGAGTACCGAGGATCTGCTTTCGAACCGGGATTACCAGCAAGTAGAAGAAAAGTTAACGTATGAAAAGTAGACATTCGAGGTAAAGTTTGCCTAGAGACTAGACGGATCACAAACCGAAGCTGATCCACCATAAAGTGCGACCATAAAATTGAATTTTTCGAATTTGCAGAGGCACCTCCCGAGTGAAACAATCGTTTGAAAATTTCGCAAACGAATCCAATAATCCACTTATCAATGGGCGAACGAAAACCTTCCGCGTCTGGCCACAGAAGCCACATGGTGAGCCGTCGTAGAAGGGCAAAGCATTCGTCTGTAGAATCAATATGAGCGTCCGTCACTGACTGAATCAGAGCACACAGAGTTGGTGCACTCCCATCGAGTCCGTTCGAAGGGGGATCTAAACAAAACAGGAGAGCAGCCAGTGGGAAGAAACACGTCTCCGTAGTGACCGCACTAACAAGATAAGCGTCCATTAACGTATGCAGGTGACTGGTAGCGCTCGTGTCAAACTGACTACAAAATTCTCTTCCCATGAACTGTTTATCAGCACGCACAACCAACTGGAGGATGTGATTCGCCAAGTAAAATGCCAAATGCAACGAAGATTGAAATTCCGGTCTGTCCACAGCTTGCTCGTCAGTTGAAAGCACGCTAAGAAACCTGACAAGTTCAGTTACAAGAAGTTTGACATTGTCCAAAGAAGTTGAGAATTCATCAGAAACGAGGAAGGAAAAGTGACGTTTTAACCGCTGCACTAGATCACTTTTCGAACAAAGGTTTTCCAGTTTAGCGCAAATTCGCAGAATAGATGTAAAATATGGTGTTGTATCATCTACATGATCCAGCATCTCTAAGAGGTAGGATAACCTGCTTGTTCGCTCAATATTTTGTAAATATCTGAGTAGTTCCAAGTGCTGCAGTGCCTCGGTAGAAGTCCCACCTAGAGAGGAGACTTTATCACCGATGTTCATGAAGATGGAATTGAAACTGCTGTCCGAAAGCCGAACTAAAAGATAATCACATATGCTCTGCACAGCACAGCGACTGGTCTCATCAACAGATGTACCAGTCTTGCTGGAATATAGTAGACAGACGTATGCGAGATCGACATAGTCATCGACACAGTCAACGCCATTCAAATGCGTTAAGCAGTTATGAAAGACGACCAACTTGGTGGATGGAGGCAGATCGCTCGTGATAACACACTCTAGAACTTTGTCCATATTTTGGAATGGATGCTGCAGCCAGTCAGAAGAGCGAGTACATTTATAGCCAACCTCTGAGTTAATACATCACTGATGCTGCTCACCGACCGACCCCCCGACAAAAGCACCTCGCAAACTGTTCCGAACAAAATCTCAAGCAACGCTGGAAACGTAAAGGAAACAAAAGATTGTTAGAAATAAACTTGAAAAGCCGATGCGAAAGGGATCACTTGTAACCAGGAGACAAGTTCTCGTGCATATCGAGTTTGTACTTCTATCTACAAGAAGCAGGTCGGAAAAAAGGAAAAGTAGTTGAAGTGTGGGACTCGTTCATCGTAGAGTGCTGCTACAAATAGACAAGAGGTTATTTTGACCTGTTTTATTTAAGTTTCTTCTCTCAGAAAAGACCACCTTCAAGATCTTACCTTACATCGACGTCTTTGAACACTGTCGATGGTCGCGTCTTTTTGCAAACTTGAATGAGTATCCATTGAGCTTGATGAGAATCAGTCGATGTGAAAGTCCTGTTAAATGTCTCCTAAAACCTATCGAGTGTGCAAACCGGTGTAACCTCAAGTTGGATCACAACCGCAAACAGTGCTCCTGTTGAGGTTCATGTTAAAATTCGCACCTTCACCGTCTCACCCCAGCGATTCCTAAGCTATTAATTTTTATCTGTCAATAGGGACACCGAACACCCAGATATGACTGAAACAGCCGGACATCAGCCCGATAACTCTCAAACATCTAAAACCTCTTTGACACTGTCCTCCGAACCCCAATCGAGTTATCCTGGAATTCCAGAATAACAACGCGTTCATTCTTACAGCTTGAGGAAAACAGAAACCTGATTTAGTACATCATCGCCCATCTATGCCACTTCATATGTGCCCATGCAAAGGGTGCCGGGGTGAATGTCATGACCATTGTCTGCTTATTATTACAATCATCTTATATACTCGTACTGCATCTTATTATGTACCTTTCAGTTCATCCATGCTTGTTCTTAGACAACTAAAACGTTGCCTCTCCTCTATAACTCGGACTCTCTTCTAACTCGTACTCGGGAGCAATCTAAAGGTCTCAGGACCTAGACACTGCACTACGCGGGTTAATGACAGGCCTGTGCAATTGTTGAGTCGACGAACGTGGACAGCTGAGGTTTGTTGTATGACTTTTCTCCTTCAACCTCAAAAATGTTAAAGTGTATATCACTATTCGTCGTCCAGCCACAGGTCCTGACAAACTAATACGGGCTCTGTTAAAGGATGGAGGTGAATTTCTCAGTTAGTGCCTGTCTAGCCCGTTTGAGTTTGTACGAAAGATAGAGAAATTCGCAGGCGATTAGTGTGAATAAAGAATAGTGCCCCATTTCAAAAAGGATACTCGCAGTGACGGTGTCAGTCTGACCCCACTTGTAACAAGGCTTCTGGCGTCACTGATTCTTCGTCGTTTTATGGCAGTGCGCGAAACCTAGGTGCGTGAAAACCAAGAGGGATTTCGACCGGGTAGAGGCTGTGTCGAAATCTTCACATTCCGTCAGGTGTTAGAGCAATGCCATATGTACAAACACACTAAAATTTTGGTGCTTCTTTACTTGCGTGCATTCGACTGTGGATCGGTCAGTGCTATTAGCCACCGTTTTTTAACTGGGTATACCTCAAAAGTTTGTGAACATAATCGGCTTCATGTCTTCAATTACGTCGGAGCGTTTAAACAGACTGGACCTTACCGTGTTGTGACAGTTTGTGTACCCCCACAACCCATAGAGCTAGATTGGGTGGTGTCCGTGTGACACTCAGTCTCTCACACCAGGCTGGTCAGTAATTAAAAGTCTGATCCGACCTCTGCCTCTCGACTTCCCCTGTCTAGGCTTGAGCAACCTGGCAGTATTCCAGCCTTCGTGTTTCTTTTTGGCGATACGGCAGCTAGGCACCGAAGGGGTGCTACAGCTGAACGATTTTCAATATGTTTTTGGACCAACTCAGTCTATTGGTCCTTCAGGTTGGCGGTTAGAACCTGTGGTGACTTGTTTTGTAAAAAAAGGTAATGCACTTGCGCTTCCCGCCAAATACCACTGCCTTGCGGTTAGGCTTTCTGGTCGAGGACTCTGATCGTCTTCCTGTCTGGGTGTAGGCGCCCTGGCAGTATCCTAACCCCAACACTTACAGCTAACTATACTCTCATACCACATCGGTCTTGACGCGGTGTCACCAGCCAGGTCGCCTTGCTTGTTGCATAGCGCAGGGCGGGTAAGCTAAAATCGATGACGCCTCACTTCTTACACTTTCATGTTTTCTTCTACCATCCTATCCAACCCACAGTTGATCATTTTCTACGCAGGTCACCGTACTAAGACTGACCGTTCTGCCTACCGTGCACCACACAGGTACAGCTTCTGTACGTCCGACTTCAGTTACAACCCTAAAATATTCACAACCAGAGATTCATCTGGGTTCCAGGTGAGTCTCTCGCAAAACCACATTAGTTTGCAAATGAGTGAATTTCGCCAATTTCGTGCAATTTGGTTTCAAGTAGAACATAAGGTTGACGGAAACCCGGGGACTACGCCTACCTGATGAGCCCCAAAAAGGGTGAAACCGGTCGTGGGCTGTCGACGGATTTTTAGCAACCTTATGATGAGTATTACATTACAAGGATATTCAAAATCTGTTTTCAAACCCAAAAGCCTGTCTACATAGCCGCTTTTAATGTTCGCACACTGAGGCAAACAGGTGAATTTGACACTGGTGTTCGGGGGCCAGCCGTCCCTAATAACCGAACATCACATCATTTGGACGGATGTGTCACGTGCAGGACACGGGCCAGACGAAGGCATGCCCTGATTGGTCAGAATGCCAGCCAATCCGAGTCAAGCACCTTTGACTCGACGCTTCTCGCCCCCTCACGCACATTCTGGCACGACCTTGTGGAACATTCTGTGACTACCCTATAAATATGCTTTTAATGATTTTCCTGTCTCCATAAAGGGCTGTGTAGAGCTACCGTGCCTTTTGATATACCATAGTGGTCATGGGGAGCAGGAAGCCAAGGGACCGATACAGAGTTGCAGCACCGTTCAGCAAGTCATAAAAACTGGATTCCTCTTGAACTGACGTATGCTGTCCGTCAAGAAAAATACAGGACGCAATGAATATGATTGAACTGAACACCCCCTTCCTCTCTTCCTGCGCGCCTCTGGTGATACAGAGGGTGCTACAGCTGGAAATGCTGAGGTGGGCATTGTGTTAAGCGGCCGAGCTATGTCTAACTGATTGGGTACCCGTTGATAGTCGCCCTTGCGCTGTTCGCCTCGCAACGTCTGAGAATCACGAGAAAGTGGGGTCTATCAAGACCTGTTTCTTCTGTCTGCTTAAGCCCCAACAGACCGTAGCTTAGAATCTGCCAAAGGCAGTTTCAGTGACCATCTGGGGGATTTTTCACAACAGCTCAGGTATCGCTGTGGTCGCATGTGACAAAGACGCCCAGGTAGGTAGAATAAGCGCTGTTGTTGAGCCCCGCTTGGGTAGTCATCATCATCTCATCATCATCATCATCATCAAAGACGTTACAAGACTTCCGGGTGCTTTCGCCTTCCAGGATGAAACCCATGTGACCCTTACTGTACTTGGCTAGAAGCCTGGAAGTTATGGCAGTTAACAGATGTCACACTGTTAAGTGTCCCGGATGCTTAAACTTGGCCAGGCCTACGACAAGCTCTCTGACCCACTTTTCTTTTCATCATAAGGCTGGGTTCAAACAGACAGTGTCCCTTGGTGTTGTTGTATAGATGCTGAGTTGACAGACAAATTGACGTCAAAAGTGCGCGATCAATACCGAAGGTTGACAAAAGCTGCTTAGGTCGTCCTCGTTTGGTAAGTGCTCCTGCCTTCGGCCAGTCCTCTAGAACATACACAAATATCCAGGTAGATAAACTTATCTAAAGTATCAGCTGGCTCGTCTGCAGGTGTTATTTCACCACATCCAGCAAAAGTACTTTACACCTTATCGGTGCATAGTGCATGCAGGACCGCAGGTTAGTTGAAAAGGCGTGTCTATGAACCAGGGGAGCAACATGTCTACGAGTGAATGTCCAAAGTGCATTTGGACCTCCGACATGCAGGGGAGTTCCAAGCAGCACATAAGTAACAAAAATAAAGAGCAATAGTGGGAAATGGCAATTTTATCTTGTAATGCTAGTGATGATCTCAAGAGAGTGCTTTTTGCATCTCTAATGAGCAGTACGTCGGTGAATGCGACAAAAAAAGGTTGAGCCTCCGTCTGTTGCTGCTGCCAGTGGCTGAGCTAACCGCCCGGCTGCGCACCTCCGGCGATCCAGAAACTGTTGCGGCAGGATGTGCAGGGGTTGATATCATCCCAAGTCACCAAGTGAAAGCATTCTTGCCTGACTAACTACCCGCTGATAGTCGCCTCTATGAGGTTCGTTTGAAAACTTCTGCGAAGGATCGATATTAGCTTACGCCCCAAATGATTATAGCTCTGACATAACCAAGGACAAGTTTTATGACGCCCTGAATACCCTCTGCTCTGATATCATTGTGGTTGCTAGAGGTCTCAATGCACAACTGGACAGGCTTAGCGCATCTAAGACTCACTTAGGTGGTCGACATGGATTGAAATGGGTACGTACGGACAATAATGAACGACTGATTTAGCTGCGTGCTGATTGCAGGGTGCTTTTACGCACCACTAGCTTCCGAAATAGCCAAAGTCGTCTGGCTACATGGTGTTCCCCAAGCGCTATGAACTCGAATTGATCGAACTATCATCACTTACCGACAGGGCGGACCAATATCTGACTGCCGATCGTTTCGGGACAAATCTGTGGATTCCGGGCACACCCTCGTCCGGAGTCGCTTCTCATTTCGTTTTCCACGACAACATAAAACTCGAATAAATCGACTAGCAACCGACACACTGGTACATCCGGATGTTAGCCAAATTTACCAGTCGTCTTTTGGAGTCACTTACGATTGCTCCACAATCAGATTTAAATTCATGCTGGGAAGAGATCATCACCTCTTTGCAAAGTGCGGGGAATTTCGCGTGTGACACGTCGCTGTCAGGTGCATTCAAGAATTTAATGCACCTGAACGAATGAATTGAAAAACTGTCGCACTGCTTAAGTCTAGGAGAAATATCCCCCCCCCGTATCGACC